AGATATTTGTCTTCGGATATAGTTCTCGTTTAAAACTTATATATATATTTCAGTATTGATTAGTTCCATTATGCAACAATGCTTGCAATTATAATTCAAGACGGTTGGCATATATCGTTAGAATAGACAAAGTCATTTATTTGAACTAACGTACAGCTTCTAGGTCCATCTCGAGACATATTTGTTTTCGTCCTTTTTTTTTCTCTTCCATCAAATTTGTTCATCAAATGAATAGATAAACGAAAAGTGTTCATTTCAGTCTATAGCAGAACGAGAAAAATCTTTTTTTTTGTCATTTTCTCTTTTCTTTCGTAACATCTACTTGTATTGTTCATATTTGTGTAATTTTCAAACGATATAATTCAAATGATGTTAACCGAAGAAGAAATGGAATATCAGTCTTCTCCATCTTCACCAGTCGATGTTCAAAATTTTTCTGCTCGTCGTCGTTCAGTATCTCAAAGACGTGGTCGTAGTTTGAATTCTGGTCATGTTCAACGTCTTAGCCGTACTTCAAAACGTACGACTTCCACACCAAAACCAACTCGTCCTACTGGCCGTAGTTCAAATCAATCGTCAACCAACAATCGATCATCAACTCGCACCAAACGAAAAAAAGAAAATGTTGCTATTCCTCTTGTTTCACCTATTCCATTATCAAATCCACCTAGTCGTTCTCAATCGCAAGTTTCACCATTGCCTTTCGAATGTCCATCGGATGATGAACAACATCAAAAACAGAATATGCATATTACGACTCGATCTGGTAAAATGAAGAAAGATGTAGTTTTATCATACTTCACTCTACGATCGGATGGTCGATATGACTGCAATATTTGTCTTCAGGTAATTTCCATTCTCTCCTTAAAACTAATATAACAAAGTACTTAAAACAGTGATTAGTAAGAATAGAAATGAAAGAGAGAACAGTTGCATTGCTCAATCTAGTAGTTTCTCTATGGGATAAACAATGATTTCTAATAAAAAGGGCTTTTTTGCCATTTTGAATAAAACCATTTTAATACAATGACTGCATATAAAAAGTCAAACTAAAAACTTCAGAAGAGTGCATATCTATTTAAATAAATAAGTGTTGAATATCTATTGATAACAGTTTCACTTGCTGTTCTTTATTGCTTTTGTTTTGATTATTATTTCAATTGAATATTCTATTTTTTTTTATTTTGATAGCCATACATGGCCTATAATGGATCAGCAACCAATCTACGTCGACATCTCTTCATAAAACATGATATTGCTGCTGCTATTTATAATTCACAATTATCTCAAATCAAACAAAAATCTGCTGTAGCAAACGATATGCCAGCAAATCTGCCAAAAATTCGTCAAAAACAATTAAATAAAGCAATTTTTGATTGTATCATTGACGATTCGTTGCCATTTACCACGTTCATGAAATCAGGCATGATCAAATTATTAAAAACATTTGAACCTCAATATGAACCACCTAGTCGATTTACCATTGCTTCTCAGGTTGATAAAATCTATCATAAATACGTCGATGAAGTAAAGGTGAGTTTATGACTATCGTTGGAAAAATATTATCCATTAAAGACCTACATAAGCTTCTCTTTCTCCTTATACTCACTTAAATAATGAAGTATTTTCTACCATGAAAGCTGTTGTATGATGAAAATTTATTTTTGACTATTGATCCTTAGTTTTATTATGATACTAAAGTCTAACATAAGGTATTCTGAATAAGTGCAATAACGAGCACGCAAGAAGAAAGAAGTCATTTCTTATATAAATCCCTCTTGCTCTTTCTCTAAAAATATTTTTCCATGCGTAAAGAAAACATTAGAGGAGAATATCTGATGAATTAGAATGATCTCGCTTTTGCATTATCAAGTCCTGCGTAAATATTTAAAAAAATTCAATTCTTTTCGTTTTTAGATTCTGCTAAAACGTGCACCACGTATTGCCTTTACTGCTGATATATGGAAAAGTGGAACCAGAAAATACTATATTTCATTAACAGCTCACTTGTATGATAAAGATTTTGAAGTTGTACCACTAGTATTATCTTTGCGACAACTTACTGAACGTCATCTGGCTATTAATGTTCAATCGTTTATTATGTATGAACTTGATGAAAAATTTCATATTCTGCCTCAGCAACGAGCTGGAATCACGACGGATTGTGGAAGTGAGATGGTTGCAGCAACATCAAATGGTTTATTCGGTCCACGATACTCTTGTATTGCACATGTATGGAACAATGTCGTCAAAAATGGTCTTTGTCTGTGGTCATCGCCGGATTCTACAAAGTTAGTTGCTTGTTTTTTATGGATCAGGAAAATGAAAAGACTAAATCCGTACAACTGAATGCATCTCAACTAAAGAGGATAGAAACTCAAACAAGAAAAGTCACTTTTTTACTTCGAGATACCACATATAACCTTCTCTATAGTCATCATCAGAAGAGAAATCGACATCTTCACGGAGGCTCTTCATTAGTTAGATAATAGCGAATATTAGTAAAAAAGTTTCTAAGAATAGTTTGGAAATCTGTCAAGAGCAGTAGTTATAGTATTTTCAATGTAAACTTGATGTATTTTTTTAAACTACTAATTCTTTGTCAATAAGTATATAATTGTTTTCTGATTTGATTTATGATCACTAAAGATCTTTAAAAAAATAAGTCAGATGCTGTTGTTCTTCTATTTACGTAGTTTGTCTTTCTTCTCTAAATTTAGAACATTATAATATGAAAATATTCCAGAGTTAGTAAAGACTTTAGGGATGAGAAATTTATTGTTATTGTTTTTGTTATTAATAACAATAATATTAGCTTTTTGATTCAAAACGGTCAATGAAACAAATGTAAGCAAAGTTTGTACGAACGTCAAAGAATTGCTCTAGTATTACAGTATCTCTTGTTTCCATTTGATATAAGAACTTGTGGTAAATATTTTGAGAAATTTTAATGTAACATATTTTGTTAGTATTTTTCAAAATATTCACCACAAGTTCTTATATCAAATGGTAAGAAAAGATGCTATATTACTAAAGTGATCTTTTGACGTTCATACATTCTATGCTTAGAATTGTTTCATTGATTGTTTTGAATCAAAAAGTTAATGTTATTGCTATTAATAACAAAAACAAAAACAATAACTTTCTCACCCCTAAAAGACTATATTACTGAAGTTAAAGAACATATTTTCAACGTTTTTTCCATTCCCAACGTTCAGATATTCAAAAAAAAAGTATAACATTAGAAAACGTTTTATTGTTCAAATAAAAAAATGCAGCTTCAAATTTTGTTTCTCGTATCCAAGAGTAAAGTATTCAAGCAAAAAGTTATCCTAAGCTCCTTAAAGATTTTATTGCTCAGATTGAAGTATTCAGCTCAGGAGGTTGTTTTTCATATCTAAGGTTTGAATATTCAAGCGAAAATCTATTCTAGCGTTAGGAGAAGTTTCATCGATCAAATTGGGCAATACCGCTCAAAGTTTGGTTTTCACAATGAATGTTAGAGTACTGAAGCAAAAAAGTTTCCGAACGTTAGGGACGCTGTTATTATTCCCAATGATTATGGCAGCTCCAAAATTTATTGTTTATATAGAGCGCTAGGATACTCAAGCAAAAGAATCATACTAAAGTTAGTATTTCTATGATTAATTATCCAATCTAGGCTGTAACTCACAACTCCAAAGTTTGTTTTTCATATCCGCATTCGAATTCTTAAGCGAAATTTATCCTGAAGTTAGTAATAGTGTAGGCTTTTGTTTTCGAATTTAAAGTGATTATTCAAGCTTTTCCTTTGTCTCCGAAATAGAGATTTAACTATGAAAAGCTATTTTAATCCTGTTAATTTTTCATCCTTCGTCTTCAACATGGAATTCAAATCTCTATAGTTTTCTGTTTCTTTAACTAAATTTAGGGCATATCTATTTAGAGATTTCGCCATGAATCCAAAGAAAGTGAATAATCATTTAAGTCACATGGACTGAATAAATGATAAGCCAAATTGTGTTTTAAAAAGTATCATCATTGTATAAGTAGCAAACAGCATTTTTTATATAAAATTTAACGTTTAAATGTCCTATCAATGACGCCTATTTTTAATTAATAATATAACACTAATTGTGCTCTTTACAAATCTTCGAAAAAATTTAAAGAATGAGAATAATACAAACAAGAATATTAAACATTCGATAGATGCATAGAGTGAAGCATATTAAAATGAAAATAGTAGATAAGAGAAATCTCATTTTGTTCAATAAAATGACAAAATTCTACATTAGAAAGTGATGCTATCAATTTTCTTATGTTCTAGTAATTATATAAGAGAACTGTCAACTACAGTATAAATTTCTATCATTTATCTATACCCTCCTGTATAAAAATAAATTTATTATCATCTTATAAATCTTCATTATAAACGCTATAGCTACTGTTTGAGATACTTAGCATAATCCGTCTACCATTTCATTTTTGATATCCTACTATCGCAAACCAAAAAGAAAATGACCACTGAAACTTAAAAACGTTCATATCTATTACGATTTTTTTGTATACATATTTGCATTGTTCAAAATGTTTATCAGCTTGAAAAACACTCGCTGTTCTACCGAAAATAATTTTTAACAAATAGTTTTTAAGTTAGTGTCACTATTTTTCTTTTTACAAAATCTATCATTCTTAATATATGATCGTTGAAGATAAATTAAATATTTTACCGTAAAAATAGCTTTCTCTCGATGCACTAAAATATTTTATAGTCAAAATCGTAATTTCAACCATAACTATAGATGTGATCTAATAGCTTTTATGATTAATAGATGCTTGAAATACATTTTTGTAATTCCCACAGAAATGCTATATATTTAGATAAATATAAGATATTTTTAATTAAAAGCAACTACTACTCCAAAGAATTTCGAATCACGGAGCGATTCAAGTTAAATTTATATTGATTATCTAATCTTCTCACCCTTTTCTTTCTACAAGGTCGATTGTTTTTACTGCCGTCCTCCTTTCCAGTAGAACTCATCCAGAACAAGAAAAGGAAAGGAAAAAGATTTCGCAACTTGAGTTTTTTCTCAACTATCTCAACTAATATTCGCTAAAATACCTTATGCATGTAAATATCAATCTTCCAGAACATTTTTCAAATGTAGGTGACTTCATAACTTAGAAAAAGCTATATGTATTTTACTGATTTCATCCGATCTCATGAGTGTACGATAATATACGATATTTATTTTGTAAACGTAACTTCTTTCTAAAAATCAAACTAAATAAACTAAATAATCTAGAACCGAATAATTTGAGAGATTTTAAAGCTCAAGATTTTTTTGAACTGCCAAATTGGATGCGAAAATTCTATGATTGTCAATGAATCAGATTTTGATCATTTCGAAAACAAACGACTGACTGCCTCTGTAATTGATTACGACATATTTTTTATTGACTATAATGACAGTGTGATGAAAGTGGGTTTCGTATCGAAACAGTTAGAAAAGTAGTGCTTAGTTTACCTAACCAAATGAAAAAGTAAGCTATGCGATATTCATTATTGAGAAGACTATCAATTCACATCAACATGCTTCTAACAATACCACTAATAGATAACTTAATTATCTAAATAGTTCATTATCTATCATCAAGTTTGCTCTTATCTATAATGTACTATCTTAGTTGTTCAATCAAAACGATAGTTCCTTTTTATTCTGTTGTTGCTTTAAACACCTCTAGTTATGAGAAAAACGACTCTTCAAATGTCTACTCTTTTTAAAATAGCTGTTTATAAACAAAAGTGGCTTTCCCTGACTAATTCAAACAGCCATTTATTTTGTTGGATTTTGAAATTTTACTTTGACTTTAGATACAAATAAGAATCCCGCTATTGATAGAAATAAGACGTGGTCTGTTGGAAAAATTACAGCAAGATGTGAAAGTATTATAATATTCATATTAAAAAAAATATTTATCATTTCAAAAAAAATAATAAGTTGCTGTGTCTTTTTGTCGTAGAACATCTATTAATAAGTATAGTGAAAAAAACATTAGTTTCAAAAATTATTATTATTTTTACCTAAACGCGCCTATACCATAAAATAAACCAAGTACCCAAGATGAGACAGTTTCCTCATCCATCATCTTGTTATCGACTTTACGAATAAAATGAATTATTTCAGATTTCCAATCAATGAAGATGATGTCGACGTCAATGAATCAATTTATAGTGTTGGTGGCGATGAAGATGATTTGTTGGATGATGAAGATCCAGATGAAAATCAATGGAATAATGATGAAACAGAAGAAGAAGAAGATGATATGAATTTATCTCCATTAGGTCAAATTCAATCGACAACATTAACAGTTGTGATGTTCAACAAGAAACCAATTCAAACAACTCAAGACGAATTTTTGAGTGACGACGACGAACCAGTTATGATTCAACCAGAAACTAGGCTTATTACCCTCATTGGTCTTCTTGAACGTATATTCAATCTTCTTAATCGATGTCGTCAACTGATACATGACATGCGTAATATTGGTGTCGTTCAAACATTTATTTTAATGGAAATTGGGAAAAAAGGACGTGGTCTTACAGTAGACATGGAAGTAAGTTTCTTCTTCTATTTTTTAACCAAAAAAAACTGAACCGTTCACTTTCCAACTATTTTTTACATTTTCGATTTAAGAAGCTGTTCCTGTTTTCAAGTTCATATAGGAAAAAGCTGGATAATATCAATAGCAGAGAATACAGACGCTTTTTAGATCATTTTTGAAATATAGACATTGCAAACAAAGTTTTATCCATTTAAAAAAAAAATTCCCATTTTGAGTACTCATATCACTAAAGTTTTTTTTTAAACTAGTACTGATCTAATTGAAACTTTTTCTAAGATATTTTGTCAATGACTTATTCTATTAATATAAAACTGAGAATGAATGAAAAGTGTAATTGTTTTACAAGACATTTATTTGAAACAGAAATTCATATGTGAGGGATCTAGTTTGCCGCTAAAGACTCAATATCTAGGAGGAGAAAGACATCTTTAGTTTTCAGTGCCAATTGATTAAAAATACATCATATTTTTCTTGTACTTTTTCTTCTAAGATTCGGTGGAATACTACTTTCCAAATGATCGATCGTTTACTTGAACGTCAAACGCTCGTTGATACTGTTGTCCGACGAAAATTCGGTGGTCTTACTGTTGTCCAAATGAATAGATTAAAATTGGCTGCCCTTACTCCGGATGATTGGGATGTACTACGGGCTCTTCACAATGTTTTAATGGGATTTGATGTTGCAACAACACTTATCTCAGCTAGCCACTATCCTACTTTATCTGATTCTTTTTGGGCAATTACTAAACTTCGTCAAATTTTAGCATCCAATAAAGATGATTCTCGTTACACCGAGTTTTTGAAGAAAAGTGCATTAAATTATCTCGATATTTATATACAGAAACATTTATCCAAGGAACAACAAGAAGGAATGCTCGTAAGTCCATTTAAACTGATCTTGCTCATATTTAGTAGTTGTGTTTTGAATTAGGAGGTCTTCTAGAAAATAAATCTTTGAATGTAACTGCAGAATTCTCAGAACTAAACAAACTTTCGGATGTGAAATAATTTTTGGAACATAGAAAGAGATGTATTTCTATCGTTCAATGACGTTTTGAAAAGCAGTATTGAGTTTTAGAGAAAAGTTCAATACGAAACCACGATTTTTTAACTCAATCATTTCAACCAATTCGTCTGACTTGTTTCTTTTTCATAAGACTATTTCTATCTTCAAACAAAGAATTCCAATTTGATTTTATAGCTTTATCTAAAAAAAAGGTTTCTTCATTTAGATTGCAGCTTTTCTTGATCCTGAAACACATAATGATTTGAGCAAAAATGATTTTACTAAAGCAATTGAAGTTGTGAAGCAAAAAATAAAGGAAATGCCGACAACTCCATCAACTACATTAACTACAACAACTACATCATCTCTTTCATCATCATCACCGTCTCATTTAGTTCTCTCTAAGAAAGAAACTGCCAAACAGCTGATGAATCGATTGGCTGGAATCAATACAAACCAGTCCCGTATTAGATCAATGAGTCCTGAAGTCGAGGTTTCTTTGTTCTCAAATGCAGCCAAAACAAAAGAAAACTTCAAACAATTTTGGTCAACTCATCATCACTCCTTTCCACGTCTTGTAGCATTAGTTCATCGGTACTGCTTGGTGCCTGCAACGTCAGTCGCAAGTGAATCTGCTTTTTCAATTGCAGGATTCATCGCCCGCAAGCAACGTTCATCATTATCATCTCGTACTTTACGTCATCTTTTGGTCCTCAAATACCGAAAAAACCTAATTAAACTTCAATCTGAAGACGAACCGTCTCTAATCAATGACCATCAATTTCAAGCGTTGTCTCTTGATACTGCTGGATCATCTTCTGTATAATGGAATATTTGTTCATTTAGCTATGATACACAATGATAGTTCTTAGTTCATCAAGTTCTGAATATTTACTAGGTTTTTTATTTTTCTGTTGATCTCGTTCTTGTCAAGCATAGGTCTATGTGTTGAAGCAAGTGAATGTTGTAGAACTGATCTGTTTATGTACACTCTTGGCAAATGGACATTGAGATAATTCGTATGAATTGATCTATTATTCCTTTATTGTAACAGTTGCGATCTGGAAACATAGGCACTGGTTTAGATATAAGTGCCATAAACTTCTACTTTAAGACCGTTCGTTAACAAAAAATATTA